GGCATGGCTATGCCCCTCCTTACACCCCAGAGGCCTGTGCACTGGTTAGACACCGGGCACATCTGAATTACAGTGAAACAAGCAATAGCACAAAGCAAGAGCCTTCAAGGGAACCTGAAAGTCAGTGTCCTAACTGCCTTGCAGTCCTGTGGAGGGTCCCTCCCCAGGCCAGGTGGGCGGGACCTCTGACCTAAGGTTACAGGCCCTGGAGACAAAGGGTTCAGAGTCCACATGCCCAGGGGCTAGAAAGCCAAAGATGGTGGTCTGGAAAGTTAAGTTTAAGGGGGCCGATGAGGAGGACCTCTCTCCCGGGTCCGTCAGTCTGGAGAATCCTCCCTATGCCTGCTGGGAGCCCCTCCCGCTTCTGAGCTGCCTGTCTCGGTACTTAGGTTGTTGAGGGGACACAGGGATTCTTCACAAAGCACAGAGGAGAGGTGCCGGATCATGAAGAGCCACCCACCTAAGGAAGACAGCGGGAGTGAGAACCTGCAGAGCGCATCCCATCCAGGGTTTCTCTACAGGAAAAGGAATGGGTGAGGGCACAGAACCACCACGCCATACAATTCGGTTTGAACCCAGACGACTCCCCAAGCAGGCTGGTGTCCTGGACAAACACAAGTCGTCTACGAATGCTAGAGAAATAAGCTGATGTGCCTTCTAACTATGTCAGAAAACTGGCACGACGATAGAAAAATAGACCAATGGAGCGGAACTGAGAGGCCGGAAGTAGGCCTACACAAATTCAGGTGCATTTCAGATCTGACAGTGAAAGGCACAACACTAAAGCTCTGGGAAGAAGAGCTTTCTGGTCTTGGACTAGGCAATTATTTTTAAACAGGACACAAAAACATGCCATAAAAGAATGAGAGACTGCCAAGACGTGTGGACTAGCGCGCCCTTCGGCCACTGCGCCCCTGGCCCCTGCGGTCACCCCGCTTCTTGGATCCTGGTGCAGGACTCTGCCAGCCTGGGCACTGCACTGTCACAAGCACCTGAGACCCCTGCCCAGACGCTTGCCCGCAGCCTGCAGGCTGCACACGTGTCCGGGGTCTGGCCTAGGGCAGGCAGCTCGGTGTGGCCCGGCTGGGCTCCAAAGTGTCCCCATGCCATGGCCAGCTCATGGTGGTCAGTGTGGGCAAGACAGAGCTCACCATCCGGTTCACCCAGTCCCATTTTGTGATGGATTATGATCCAACCATCAAGGATTCCTACGGAAAGCAGTGATGATAGGTGACAGAGCAGCCCAGCTAGATACTCTAGACAGAGCAGGACAGGGAGAGATTAGAGCTATGGGAGAACAGTCGATGGGAGCTGGCAAGGGTTTCCTGTCCGTCTTTTCAGTCCCAGATGGAGGCAGTTGGGAAGAAATGTGTCAGTTTCAAAGATAGATTCTCAGAGGCAAGGGCCATGATGCGTTTCCAGTGACTGGAACTGGTACCAAAGCAGACCTGGATCATCAAAGACAGGTGGCACAGAGAGGACAGCAGATAGCACCACGCCTGACGGCGACTTCCACGCAGGCGTCAGCAGACGTCAGGACGAACGCAGATCCAGCTTTGCAGCAACTGGCCTCAGTGAAGAGCGCGGGAGTGGAGGGGATTCGGGGCGCAAAGCCCGGGACACGCCGCGGGGGAGAGAAGCGCCCAAAAAGGCGGTGCGGTCATCCCGGAAATGATCTGCTCAGCTGAGATTTACACGAAGCTCCCTGAACCAGAGGCCGTGGGAAGTTCATGCGTGTCAACGCTAAGGCTTAAACGTCACTGCCTGACAAACGGGTCCAGTCAGTCTTCAAGATGACAACTGACCGATCCACGATCCTCCACACCCCTTACAATCAGGCCCTGCCCTGCCGTCCCTGTGCTGCTGGCCGGCCCGCGCCTCCACCCTCAGGCCACACTGGTTCCCTCTCTGCCCCCCGAAATACCCGGTCTTTCCTTCCTGCCCGCCTGTGTTCATGCCTCCAGCTTACCCCTCCGTCACGTCCCCTATTTATCACTCAGGACGCCCACCATGTGGCATTTTCTCAATTTCATTAGTGGGATCGGATTTTATCATTTCTGTGTATGAACCTTGGACTACTGTCCACCTTTCCCCCGGTCACTAACGCCCGAAGGACAGAGCATTTTCTGCCTTTTCGACACTGCAGTGTCTGCCGGCGCAGTATTCGGCACACAGCCACCCACGGGAAAGTCCTGAGTGGACCAGGAGAGGCCCCCGTCTCCAGAAGCCGAAAGGCGGTTCCGCACAACTGCGCGCTCCCCCCGCGGGGAGCCAAAGGCTTGCTTCGCAGGGCAGCGCCTCGGGATGAAGCTCTCCGGAGAGATTTTTCGGTGCATTTGGGATTTCTGCTTTATGTACATTTCCTAAGACTTCCCTTATTTCTCAGAAGCAGCAGCCTGGTTTATGTCAATGGAAGAGGGAGCAATACTGCAATGTCTGGTTCCACCCGCTGCTCCCGCGGAGGCCGGCGGGTTTTCAGCGGCCACGCGTGGGCATTGTTGGCGGCGTTTGGAAGCATAAGGCAGGCTGCCCGGCGGAAAGGGGACAAGCAGCTGTGCAGAGAAAGACGGGGAACTAGGGTTCACGCGTCGCGCTCCTGCCAGCATCTGCCTGCTGGCCCCAGGACACAGGCACGCCAAGAGGACGGGAGACCACCTTCGTGCAGAAAGCAGGGCATTCGCAAGGACAAAGCACAGCTGGCCAGGCACAAACTTCAAATGCACAGGCTTGTCAACACAGCAGAAGTGACTCTCAGGAGCAGCCAAACCTCGCAGACCCTCCCGACTCACACACCCTTCGCTCTCCATGGCACAGAGATTGCGCCCCACATGCTCCTCCTAATCGTGGGAAAGCTCCCTCTCCGCGGGTTTCATCACCCGCAGCTCTCTCCCAGCCCCGCAGGAGGCGACCACAAAAACCTACAAACTAGCAAAAAGCTGAATCCACACATCGTGTGTGTGGTTCCCGCAGGCAGGCCACTCTTGAGACTGCCGTTGTTAATTGCAATTATCACCGTTTATCTTCTGCTAGAATGTCTTTTGGACTGTGGGCTATTTTACTGCAGGGCCGGGTAGAACGTTCTGAGTTCACAGTGGGGGCTCCTGTGACAGGTGTTGCTTTCTCCCTCGAGGGGATGAGCTGCTTCCTTAGGCCTGTCATTTTTTCCTACACATAGCAGCCTCCGGCCTGTCATTAACTTGCTGTTGTCTGCCAGGAAGTGGGAGATTCTGCTGACGACACGTGGCTAGAGAATGCACTCTGAGTTGGTTTTCTAACAGAAGAAGTAGAGCAAAACCTCATGACTTCTGCCCTCCGAGTTCAAGACCACTTGGCCTGGCCTGAAGCAGTCCCTGAACAAAATGTGGAGGCCGTGACACTCGGCCAAGAAACCCGCTGATGCGGGAGGGTTAAGGCGCCCTTTTTCTTAAACACTGACCTACAGTTGTCAAGAGGCTTCACTCCAGCTTCCAAGACTGCTCAACTTAGATCTTCATTCACAAATATGAGGCAGAGTAAAATGGTACAGAGGGGAATTAGCAACTAGAAGGAAGGAGCTGAGTAAAAATCTTTGCAGTCTTCTTAAGAAAATTTCTATATGACACCCTAGAAATAAATTTCAAAAAGCCATCTGTGCATAAATATTGTGCTGGCTGTGAACATTCTTACCCAGATTGTTACCAGGCAGGAACCGGGCGCCAAGCGGCTCTTCCTCAGGCCAGCCTGTAGCGTGTGGGTTCTTGACTTCACGCAGGAAAGATTTCACGAGTCCAGGTGATTTTGAGAGCGCGTTTATTAAAGCTGGGGACAGTGAAACAAGGAAGGGCTTAGCACAGAAAAAGCAACAGGAGAGCCTACAAGGGGGCTGCTTTGGCTCAATGGGAAGTAAAAGTCACAGTGGCGGGGGGTGAGCCACGACGGGGATGCTGCTGACTCACTGAAAACTCAGAAAAAAGAGGTCTTGGAGACAGGTTCAGGCAGTTATCCCAGGACAAGCCACCACTGTCCATTGCTCCCCTAGTTGCAAGTCTCATGGGGACCCTTAGGACTTAGAAAAAGCACGCCTAAGAAAGAAATGGGGGGAGAGGGCGGGCATGCTCCAGAGAGAGCCCATGCTGGGCCTTGGTCTCTCTAAAGGCAGGAATTTTAGGGGAGGTCTTAAGAAAGGATCTCAATAGTGTCAAAATGAGATTTCTTCCCCTGACTGCATCCCTCCATGGGTGTGGGTGGCAAAAATGGCATTGTGGATGGAAAGGGGCCACATCCTAAACCTGACAAGCTCAGGAGAGGACTGCATGGAGGCCTTCCAAACTCAGACACCTAAAGTAACCACAAAGGATGGTCTGAAATGAAAACTTTTTAACTAAAAGCAATTTATGGCCCTGGCCAGTGTTGCTCAGTGATAAAAGAGTGTCGGCCTGAGCACCAAAGGGTAGCAGGTTCGATTCCTGGTCAAGGGAACGTACCTGTGTTGCAGGTTCAATCCCTGGCCCCGATCGAGGTGCACGTGAGGGGCAATTAAGCCATTCGGTCTGTGCTACTTTGTTATGGCAGCCCCAGGGCACTTACACACTTACTAGCGAATCAATGAGTGCAATCACTCAGAGCATGTTTTACCTGAGTATCTGCAATGTAACTTCTGTGTGCTTTGTTCAGTGACAAGCACAGAGCCGTATTAGAGGGAACCCTGCTCGCAGGGACGTTGCACGTAGCTCTATCACGCTTCCTCCTCTCACTATGAACAGTTGGAAAGAGAAACTTTTTTCCCACATAATTTTTTCACACTAGATTTCTTTTTCTGTTTGGAGAAAACTCTACAAGCAGGAACAGTTATCAAAGAGCAGACAAACAGTTACATTAAAGATCCGAAAACAGCTGGGGGGGGGCTATTTCCATTCAGCTGTGTCCCATCCTTCCTTGGATATTTCTGCCCATCATACCTCCCGGGGACTGAGTTCTCTCCTCTGGCCACCTCTAGGCAATCACAGCTTTCCAGTGAATCTGCGGAAACCACCTTCCCTGGAACAGAAAAAGAAAATGCTAGCATGCAAACATCATCTCCTCCTAGTCAAAGGCCAGTCACCTCCTGTGTCTTTCACTGTTTCTCACTTGAAAACCCAGCACAGTCACCATGAGTCCATGGAGCAAGCCAGAAACGTGTGAGAGAGAAATTTCACTGACCTAGGTCACCAATGTCCAAGTAGTCGCTGAATGAGACACTGTCATGGAACGTCGGAGAGTGTGGCTAAGACTGCCACAGGGAGTATTAACAGAACTAAGAAACAGATGCTCAGAAAATTTCCTGTCCAACATTCGGGTTTACTGTGGAATCTGCTTCCAGCTCGCTCACATTCACTTCACTCCAAATCTGACTTAAAAGTACACAGCTTTCACTAAAGATAACGTTGGCAGGAAAACCACAGATTTTAATATGAAGTGATTCACAGTGAAAATATGACACTTCTTAAAAGCTCATTAACATTGTTAAACACAGGTGGGTTTGTTAGAAAGTCCCACTATCTCACTTAATGACACCTCTTCATTTTTCCACTGGTATCTGGCTTTGAGTGCCGGTTGTTACACAGCAAGCTGGGACCATTTTCCTATAAAAACCAAAGCTGTCAACGTGCCCTAGGAATTTTACTGAGAATATCATATTTTAACAATAAAAAGAGCAAAACATGTCAATTGGAGAAATAAGGACACAAAGTTAGACTAAAGTAAGTGACTTCTAAGCACCATTTTCAAATGCTCATCATTTTCATTTTAAACCAGCATTTCCATTATTCTAACTGCAGGTACTTCTGAATAGCAGGGTAACTGTCTACAGACTTAAGGGGAAAACAGTAAGCCATCATCCTGGCTGTACAGCAATAAAACTAGGAATTAACACTAACTTTGATAAAGACCATCAAAAATCTCAACCACTTAGAAATAAAGAAAATTAACTATAAGGTCAAAGGAGAAGTTAAATATGCAATAACGGAGAACCTATAAAACAAAACAGGTGAGAACACTAGATATAACTTTTCAGGATGTGTTCAAAGCTGCTTTTAGAGGCAAATGCATAGTCTTCAGTATTTTCATTGTTAAAGAAAAGGAAAAAAACTAAGCCCTCAAAGAATTTTGGAAACAAACAAAAATTATAGAAAGTAGGAGTAATAAAACTAAATGCAGGATTAAATTTATTTAAACATTAAAACAAAATATTACTGGTAAAAGCACATGCCCTTTCTTAAAAATGGACTAAGCTCTAACATAAATACAGAAAGTGAGCAGAAAACAATAAAATGAGAACTGGACATGGGAAATGCTACAAATAGAAGATCATCAAGATGTTAAGAGTTCTGTGTTTGGAACCCAAGGGAACTGGGTCAGAGTTTAAGTCTGACACTTGTTAGTTATGAGACTGTGGGCAGACTTACGGTCTAAAGACAGTTTCCTCTATATAAGAAGAGTGTAAAACTTTTTAAATGAGAAAATAATGGTAACTACCTCCTAAAGTTTTTGTGAGTCAAATAAGTACTTCATGGTACCCAGGAACTAGTAAGCTCTCAGGCAATAGTCAATCTTTCCTAAGACTTCCGTGATGATAGTCTGTTTTATTCGTAAGGCCCTACAATCCCCTCTGACATATGCTCAGGATACAATCACTTGACTTGGTCCCATTAGGTCCGCTGTGCAGGTGACACCTGTGATTCGATCTTCAAAATAATGCAATTTCTAGAAATTGCTGAAAGGTCAAATTCTTCCAAATTTTAAGTGGAACTGACATGCCAGGACCTCGTGAGAGGGCAGGTGACGTGGAGTGACTTGACAAGGGTCAAAATGTCCTCCAAAAAATATGTCCTTACAACATATAGTTGCATGCTAAAAAAAAAAAAAAGCTTCCTGCTAAACTGGTTAGAATCTGCCTGCATAAACAGAGACATTTCAACTACCACAGCGAGACAACACCTAGAAACAGAACAATGAAGAAGAGCAAGGAACGGAATTTAGAAAACATGAGTCAGGAGGGGTGGGAAATGGGGGCAAAAAGGGATTAACTGGATACTTAAGAGAAAAACCAGATTAACATCCCAATAGTAGCTAAGACTAACGCTTCCTGTGTTCCAGCTACTGCGCTAAGCACTTTTCATTTGATTACACCTGTGTTTTCACCACGTGTCCGTGAGCTGGATGCTAATGTTCTCTTTTATTGAGTAGACCCCTCGGAGTGAAATCACTAGCCGGGGTCCTAGAGTGAGTGAGTAATCAAAGCCAGCATCTACAGCCTGGGAAAGGCACTCTGGGGTCCACAGTCCTAAACCCCACTGCTCACCACCCCCGTCCCTCAGTGTCACAGAGGAGTGTCCCAGGAACCAGAAGAACCTAAAGAAGGAAGGGCCTTCATCAGTGTGAATCCTACAGAAAACTGTGGAGCCAGCAGCAGTCAGGCTTCCAAAGGGCAGCTTCAATGGGGTGATTGTGGCTAAAATCAGAGAGCAAATGACAGTCCTTTAGAAAGATAAAGACAGTAATCTTAAAGGGGGTGACTGGCTTAAATAAAACTTTCTATACAAGGAACAACAGCTAAAGAGACAGGATCCGAAACATGGGCTATGGCTGCTGGAGAACTCCTATGTATCCCTTAGAACCCTGCTCAGACATCACTACTACTATGTAGGCTTCTGAATTGTCTTCCCCAGAATTGACTGCTCCCCTTTTCCCTAGACTCCCAAGCACATTGTAACATCTACTGGAGTGCTGACTTTGCATTTTACTTTCTTGAAGCTGACTCCCCAACTAGACTATGAGCTCCTTGTGGTCAATGGACTGGTGTTCATTTATGTATCCTCAGGGTCTAGCCCAGCGTCCCACTTGGAGCAAGTGGGCAGGTACTCAGTAAATATTTGTTGCATAAAAAAAGGGATGTGGGAAGGGGTGGGAAGAAATGGAGGGTTCGGTCAAGCCTGAGAACAGGACAAACCAGGACATCAATAAGTGATGACTAATGGAGTACTATGACCGAAAGAAGAAAGCCGAAAAGAAATCCATGCCAGCCAGCATCTTTCCCAGAACTAACGTTCATGACAGTATCTTATCTGTTAGCAAGCAGGGGTTCATCAACGACAGAAAACCAACCACCTGATTTTTAAAAATGGGCAAAGGACCTGAACACACATTTCTCCCCAGGCAGCTGGGGAGAGGGGCTGACAAAGACCAAGCAGGTTTCATGGCCATTGGAACCAGGATGCAGTCCTGGCAGAAAACCAAGTAGAAATTTGATCAGAAGCCCGGTCAAAAGGACAAGCATCCTGGGGAGGCAAAGGGTTTCCCTGGGACACGGGTGCCTGGCTCGGAGCCCAAGGGCAACTCCATGCCCAGGAAGGAGGTATGGAAGCCTTGAACCCGCCCAGGATTGGGCCGAGCTGGCCCGAGTCTGCAGTCATCTAGTGGCTGACTGAGGAAGGAGGGCTGCGAGCCCCTGTCCTCTGATGAAAGGACGGAGGTTGTCACCCGTACAAGGAAGCTGGGCCAGATGCAAATCTCATAAAATCAGACGTGAATAGTGGGCCTGGTTTAGCCAAAGCACCTACTTAGAAACTCTACACAAGAACAGGTGCCCCATGTCTGGAAAGACCTTTGCAAAGGAAACACTGTCCTTGCGAATTTGCTGAGGTGGCAGCTCAGTCAAAGGTCTTTTATACTCTGAGTTGCATTTCCAGGAGATAAAACGTCGGTGGACCTCACATTGAGATCCTTGCTGCACTATCAGAGCTTAATTATTTTTTAACTTACCTAACAAAGGGCTTAT